TAATGGCTATGTCGCTGGACTCCCACATAGTCAACCGTGGTTCAAGTCCCGGACCCGGTGGCTTAAACTCACACCGGGTGTGTATGCATGCGTGCCCAAGATCCCAAGAGGAGACTGGAGGAAAAGGGATTGCGGTGTGGCCATCCACCCTAGGGGGTGATTTCTCACTTTCTAACTATCTCTCTCTGTCTTTCTGGTGAGCACACTCGCCCTATAGCGAAAGCCTCTCCAAAAAAAAATAATAATAATTATTATTTTGTTTTAACTTTATTTATCTTTAAATTTGTGAGAGAGAGAGATTTTTTATATAATGTATTTTTATATAGTTTTCACTTTTGAACTGTATGTATATTTTCTGTATTCAAAAATTAAACCAGTAGAGGGGGAAAATGAAATACAAACCAAAAAAGTGAATCTGTTTATCAAAGTAATAACAGACACATACAAAAAGTAAGTAACTTTTGAACCCTGGTTTTAGACATCACTGATTTTCCAGGTAGGAGCATATAAACATGATATGGAGATGGTGAGTAAAAACCTTTCAAATACTGGATTTAAGTTGGCATCTCAGTATACTTTTTTTTCTTTTTATATTTTTGCCATAGGGCATGTGCACTCACTAGAGAAAGACAGAGAGAGAGAGAAAGTGAGAAATTACCCCCCAGGGGATGGTCACACCGCATTCCCTTTTCCATTTTCCTCTTGGGATTTTGGACACACATGTACATGCTCCTGGCATGTTTTGCAAACCACCAGGTCCAGGACTCAAACCATGGAGTTGGCCCTGTGGGATCCAGCGCCTTAACCACCACACCACTTGCTGGCCCTAAATTCATTGTTTTTTATTTCTTTCTTTTTTAAGAGATAGGCTTTTTAAAAATAATTATTTTATTTAACTTTATTTATTTATTTATTTAGTATTATATTTTAAAATTTGACCAAAGAGGGACAGAGTAAGAGAGAGAAAGAGAGAAAGCAAGCTGTCAGGTCCAGGACTCATACCATGGTCGGTCATGTGGGAAGCCAGCACCCTAAACCACCATACTACCTGCTGGCCCGTTTAGAGAGAGATTTTTGCTATGGGGCACGTGCACTCACCAGAGAGACAGAGACAGAAAGCGAGAAATCACCCCCTCCAGGGGATGGCCATGCCACAATCCCTTCTTTCTCCTCTCGGGATTTTGGGCATGCACAAACATGTACCCCACATGAGCTATAAACCACTGGGTCTAGGACTTGTGGATGGAGTGGGAGTCCAGCGACATAACCATTACACCATCTGCTGGTCCCCACTATTCTTTTAAATACAGATTTTGTGGTTCTTTCCTTTGAAAGAGACCAGAATAATAATACCCAGTAGCAGTAGACACGGTAAAACTAGATCTTTGTATCCCCACTACAAGGTGGCAGGACTCCTTGAAAATCGGCTGATCAGGTATATCTAGGGTAAGGAAAGTACAAAGTGAGTTTGGTTCATTTTGTGCCAGGAAAGCAATGAAAAATGCTCAGAAATTATTGGACATGTGTCTAAAAGGTATGGGAGACTTGGGCTAGAAGGTCACACGGAGGTTAAGGTAGCTAGATCCCACATGATCAGTTATTGGGTCATTGGAAAAGTCATGATGCTTTTTTTTTTTTGAGAGGTTTTTCACTATAGGGCACGTGCGCTCGCCAGACAGAGAGAGACAGAGAGACAGAAAGCGAGAAATCACCCCCCAGAGGGGATAGCCACTCCGCAATCCCTTCTCCTCCATTCTCCTCTCAGGATCTTGGGCACACATGCACACGCGCCCGGCGTAGGTTTTAAGCCACCGGGTCCGGGCCGTGACCCACGGTCAACTACGTGGGAGTCCAGCGACACAGCCATTACGCTAACTGCTGGTTCCCAAGTTATGATGCATTTTTGCATAGAAAAGTACGTCATGAGTTTCCTGATAACCTAATACATGGTTTGAGTCCCATTCCTGGTGACTTGAAAATCAAGCCAGGTGTGTGCTTGCGTGCCCAAATCCCAAGAAAAGAATGAATGAGAAGAGATTCCAGCATCCCCCAGGGGGTGATTTCTCACTTTCCCTCTCTGTCTCTGTCTCTGGTGAGCACATGTGCTCTATGGCAAAAAATATTAATAATAACAAATAAATAAAAATAAAGAACAGTGGTGATAATGGGTTATTACAGAATGAATCCACAGTGGTACTGAAATGGAGCAGAGGCAGAACAGACAGCAAAACTCTTCTACAGAAGAATACTAAATAAATAAGAACTAATAGAAGACCACCATCTTGTAACCTTTAATATTTGATTTAGGAAAGGATCGTCAACGGATGCTTAAAACAGTAGGTGAAAGATTGTAGAGGAAAAGGATATCTACTTATCCTCCACCCTGTAAAGTATCTCTCCACAGACTACTTACTACCCAAAGAGACGAGAGTACCTTTGCCAGCCCAGTAATAGGACAAACTGATACCATGGGCCTCCTCAATGTGAGGCAATGGGAAGGCCACTACATCACCTCGGTATTAATCTTCATCAAAAACGTTTTACCTGGGACCAGCAGTTAGCATATTGGCTATCTCTCTGGACTCCCAGGTAGTCAACCATGGTTCGAATCCCGGACCTGGTGGCTTAAACTCATACCAGGTGCATGTGCGTGTGTGCCCAAGATCCCGAGAAGAGAATGGAGGAGAGGGATTGTGGTGTGGCCATCCCCTCAGGGGGTGATTTCTCGCTTTCTGTCTCTCTGTCTCTCTCTGTTTCTCTGGCAAGCGCACGTGCCCTATAGCAAAAACCTCTCCAAAAAAAAAAAAAGTTTAACCTCTCGTCAGCAGGTGGCATGGTGGTTGAGGCGTTGGGACTCCCACATGGTCAAGCGTAGTTCAAGTTCTAGACCTAGTGGTTTGAAAATCATGCCAGGGGTGGTGGGGAGGGGTTGACCAGCAGATGACATAATGGTTACGTTGCTGGACTCCCACATAGTTGACTGCTGTTCAGGTCGCAGGCCTGGTGGCTTAAAACGCATGCTGGGTGCATGTGTATGTATGCCCCAAATCCCGAGAGGAGAATGGAGGAGAAGGAATTTTGTGGCATGGCCATATCCACTCAGGGGATGATTTCTCACTTTCTGCCTCTCTGTTGAGCACATGTGCTCTAAAGTAAAAATCTCTCTAAAAGAAGAAATAAATAAATAAGAAAGAAAATCATTCTGGATGTGGGAGTGCACATGCTCAAAATCCTGAGAGGAGAGGAGAATGGATGAAAGGGGATTACAACGTGGCCATCCCTCTGGAGGGTGATTTCTCACTTTTCCTCTCACTGTCTCTGTCTCCAACAAGTACATACATGCTATGGCAAAAACCTTCCCCCACCAAAAAAAAAAAAAAAGTTTAACCTGAATCTAATTATGAGGAAATAGAAAAATCCAAGTTGTGGGACATGCAATAGCTGGCATGTACTCTTCAAAAATGTTAATGCCGCGGGTAACAAATAAAAAGATGGAGAAACTGTTCCAGATCAAAGGAAAATAAAGATTGTAAATTTAATGAGTGATCTTTGATTAGACCCTCCTTCTCCCAAAAGAGGGAAATTTTAAAAATGGATCAGTGCTTCTCCAACTTATGTGAACTTTGTGGGGATCTTTTTTTTTTTTTTTTTTGGAGAGGTTTTCGCTATAGGGCGCGTGCGCTCGCCAGACAGACAGAGACATAGAGACAGAAAGCGAGAAATCACCCCCCCAGAGGGGATGGTGACACCGCAATCCCTTCTCTTCCATTCTCCTCTCGGGATCTTGGGCATGCACGCACATGCGCCTGGCGTGAGTTTTAAGCCACTGGGTCTGGGACGTGAACCGCCGTCGACTACGTGGGAGTCCAGCGACATAGCCGTTATGCTAACTGCTGGTTCCCGAGATCTTTTTAAAATTAGTTTCTGGGGGCTAGTAGGTGGCGTGTTAGTTAAGGCGCTGGACTCCCATATGATTGACTGAGGTTCAAGTCTCGGCCTGGTAGCTTGCTTT